TATTTTAATTCCTGAGGCTGTTTTTGTCACTAGTTCAGTGCTAAATTCACGGCTCAAGTTCAGCTCAACCGAACTGATGGCCATGAGAAACAGTTTGGTTATTAATATATCACAGAGGCTGAAATCTGCACTCGGCAGACAGCGGCCCCTGAGGACAACGGAACGGCGCAGCAACGTGTAAGGAGCAACGGTCAAGAGGAAACGATGTGCCCGGAAACAGAAGAGGGGGAAGCGGGCAGGCATGTTGGCCCAGTTAAAGGCTAGAAGGCCACCGATTCCTACTCTCTTTCTGGCCAGTGTCCACTCTCTGGATAACAAAATGGACTTGTTACATCTGAGGATGAGTGTTTCTACAGAGATGAAGAATTGTGCTGTTCTTTGCTTAATGGAATCCTGGCTTAACAACAACATGCCAGACTCAGCTTTCTAGATCAACTGTCTTCAGTTAGTCTGAGCAGACCGTGACCATCGGTCGGATAAAACATGGGGGGGGGGGGACTTTGTATGTTCGTGAATGAAGATTGGTGAATGAACTGTGAACTGGTAAAAAGCTACTGCTCTGAAGCGATAGAAATTATTACTGTGAAAGTCAGACGTACTATCTGCCATGGGAATTTACTGCAGTGTTCTTTACCATTGTTTGAATACCGCCAGTTGCTAATGCTAACGAAGCATCAAAGAAGCTGTATGACACCATTAGCTCACTGCAGATAAAGCACCGGGAGGCATTTTACATGGTTGCGGGGGACTTTAACCACATGAAACTGATGGACACTCTGCCCAGTTTTTACCAGCATGTCACCTTTCTTACACGAGGAGACAACACTCTGGACTGTGTGTACACTAACATTCACGGTGCGTACAGAGTTCTTCCTCGCCCCCATCTTGGCCTCTCCGACTACATCGCAATCCTGCTGGTGCCAGCAAATCGTTTGTTGATGAGACGAATGAGGCCAACAAAGAAGACAGTCACTGTGTGGCCCAGGGATGTAGACTCTGTGCTCCAGGACTGTTTTCAGTGCACAGATTGGCAGGTCTTCAGAGAGGCGGCTACATATGAGGGAGAGGTGGACCTGGAGGAATACACCTCCTCTGTTCTTGGCTTCATCTACAAGTGTGTTGATGATATTATCACCATCGGGACAGTAACCTGTTATCTGAATCAGAAACTCTGGCTGAATGCTGAGGTGAGAGCTCTGCTGAAAACTAGGGATGCTGCATTCAGGACAGGTGAGGCATCAGCACTTCGAGAGGCAAGGAAAAGATTGACTGCAGGCACTGCAAGGGCCAAAGCCACATACACCCAGAAAATTCAGGGTCGCTTCATCACCAATGACCCCCGGCACATGTGGAAGGGCATCAAGTGCATTATGACCTACAACATCAAGGATGCACAATGCCCAAGGGACCCCTCATTGCCAGATGCACTCAATAAGTTCTATGCTTACTTTGAGGATCCTAACACCACCCCCAGCACTAGACTTATACCATCACCCAGCGATACGCCCCTCTGTGTGACCACAGCAGATGAAGACCTTCAGAGGAAGATCCTCCAGTGAATCAACCCCCATAAGGCTACAGGCCCTGACAACATCCCAGGTTCTGTACTGAAGGACTGCGCATACCAGCTGTCTGAGGTGATGGCAGACATCTCAACACCTCACTGTCATTGGCAGTTATCCCCCCTGCTTTAAGTCTGCCACTATTGTCCCTGCACCTAAGTGCTCCATAGTGACAGGCCTGAATGACTACCAACCCATAGCCTTAACATTGGTAGTCATGAAGTGCTTCGAGAGGCTGGTAATGACCCACATCAAGGACTCCATCGACATCACTGTGGACCCACATCAGTACGTCTACAGAAGGAACCGCTCCACTGCTGCTGCCATCTCATCGGTGGGCCACACAGCACCCAATTGGAGAGCAAAAATTCTTACACAAGTCTGCTCTTTATGGATTTCTCCTTGGCCTTCAACACCATCATCCCACAGACTCTGGTGCAGAAGCTCTCCTTTCTTGGACTGAGTCCCACACTGGGGAACTGGATTCCAAACTTTCTGACCAACAGACCTCAGACTGTCAGGATCTACAACACCTTCTCCTCCTCCATCACTCTCAGCACTGGCTCGTGAGAGGGCTGCTTTCTGAGCCTCCTCCTGTACACTCTGTTGACACATGAATGCTCGGCTAGACACCCCAGCTGCCATATAGTGAAGTTTGTGGACAACACAGCAGCAGTGGGACACATCACAAACAATGATGAGTCCAACTACAGAGAGGAGGTGGAAAACCTGGTGCAGTGGTGCAGAGGCAATAATCTCTGCATGATTGTGAAGACGACCAAGGCGATGGTGGTGGAGTTCACAAGGGACAAGGATCCTCTTCATCCCCTACACATCGGAGGAGCAGATGTGGGGGTGGTCTCCTGCTACAGGTACCTGGGGGTGCATATATCCAGTGACCTCACCTGGAGAGCCAACACTTCCTGTCTGGTCAAGAAGGCCCACCAGTGTCTCGACTTCCTCAGGAAGCTGAAGAGAGCTGGACTTGGGAGCTCTGTCCTGAGGAGCTTCTATTGCTGTGTGGTGGAGAGCGTTCTCTGCAATTGTATCACCGTGTGGCACGGCAGCTGCACTGCTGCTGAGAGGATGGCTCTGCAGAGGGTGCTTAAGGCTGCACAGAAGACTGTGGGGAGCAGCCTTCCCACCACCTCAGACCTCGACACTTCACAATGCAGGGGGAGGGCACTCCGTATCATGAAGGACTCCACTCATCCTGCACACAATCTCTTCCAGCCCCTCCCCTCAAGCAGGCGGCTGAGGAGCATTCAGATCAAGACCACCAGGCTCAGAAACAGTTTCTTCCCTGCAGCTGTCAGACTGCTGAACTCGAGCTGCAATTCAGCTTCATCTTATATATATATATTTTTTTTTTAACTTTATCAGCACGGTGGCGCAACTGGTAGAGCTGCTGCCTCTCAGCGATCAGGTCATTGGTTCAAACCCTGGTCCAGGGGCCTTTCTGGGTGGAGTTTGCATGTTCTCTCCGTGCATGCATGGGTTTTCTCCGAGTGCTCCGGTTTCCTCCCACAGACCAAAAACATGCATGTTAGGCTGATTGGTAACTCTAAATTGTCCCTAGGTGTGCGTGAGAAAGTGAATGGTTGTTTGCCTCGTTTGTCTCTATGTTCTCTATGTGGCCCTGTGATGGACTTGGACCCGTCCAGGGTGTACCCCGCCCCTCGCACAGTGATTGCTGGACATGGGCACCGGCGACCCCCGTGACCCAAAATGGAATAAATGGGTAAAGAAAATGGATGGATGGATGAATATATATATATATATATATATATATATATGTATATATATATTACAAATATGTAATAATGTACAAATATATATCATATTTGTACTATTTTGTATTTATTTATTTGATAATTGTTAGGCTTCTTGATCTGGGACCTGAGTCCAAATTTCATACCACTAACATGCAACTGTGAGCTGGTATGACAATTAAAAAATCCTTGAATCCTAACTATAGGATTTATCAAAAAGGAAATTCTTAAGCCCAGTCTTAAAACTGGACAATGTGTCTGCCCTACGGACAGAAACTGGAAGTTGGTTCCACAAAAGAGGAGCCTGATAACCAAAGATCTTCCTCCCATTCTGCCTTTGGAAACTCTAGGAACCGCGAGTAAGCCTGCAGTCTGAGAGCAAAGTGCTCTGTTGGGAAAATATGGAACAATCAGATCTTGAATATAAAAGTGAGCTATGTTGTTGAGAGCTTCGTAGGTTAGAAGTAAGATTTTGATTTTAATTTATAGTATAATATAATTAATAATTAATAATAACATATACTTTTATAAATGGATAATTCTGCTTTACAAAATACAACAAGTAGGCTGCTAAACAATACTGTGTTGTTGGCCATGAAAGTTTAAAACGAGCGTATATAAATGTTGTCCAGCAGGTGGCGGTAATGCGGCCACGAACGAGTCCAGCCGAGAAGAGCCGAGCGGATGTGATGGATGACGTCAGCATCAGGCGTCGTTTTCAAAGCTCGTTAACGGCTGTTGTCTTGGTGCGGTTTGTTTGCGCTGGTTTACAACTCAGCTGTGTTCATGAGTTCATCTCTTCGGTAGTGTTTGCTCCATGGCTCGGTTATAAGAAGAGGCCGATGTGTGTGCAGGTGAGTGCGGGCTCTTTATGGGTGCTTAGCCGCTAACTGTTAGCTTTTCTGCTAGCTCTTCTGACAGTCTGTTTACTCCTCTGAGCCAGCTGTCTAGTTTAATTACCTAAAGTATAGATAAATGGTAAACTTATATAGCGCCTTTCTATCTTATTTGAAGATACTCAAAGCTCTTTACAACAATCAGTGCCTCATTGACCCATTCATACAGCTCTATACTAGATCAAGCTAACTGAACAAATCATTCTAAAGAGACTAATCAGTGATTTAGATCACATTCATACACTGATGGGACACACGTCTTGCCCAGGGACACTTCAGCATGTGACAGCTGGTGGATTCGAACCCCCAACTCTTGCATTGGAGGACAACTGCTCTAACCACTCAGCCCCTATAAATAATAAAAGTAGAACTGTTTAGTTTTCTTGCCAAAATATAATTAATTTTGTTCAGAAAAGCCGGGTCACATTTGTCTTCATTAAGTTGTGTTGGACCTTCAGATATTTTCTGTGCAGTAGTTTGTTGTATTGATGGTGTTGTTTTAATGTTATTTTAATGTTGTTTTAATGTTATTTTAATGTTGTTTTAATGTTATTTTAATGTTATTTTAATTAGCTGTTTTTAACATTACACTTCAGGTTTACATTTGAATATGTAAACACGAAATATCAAAACGTGAAAAGGCTTATTTGATATTAAAAACATCAAAATGTACATGTTACTTTTTCCTCATCGATGTTTTGTTAGAGATTATGAATGTTTACATTTATTTCTTTTTTTGATTTTTAGGCTGTTTCCTATCTCGGTATTTAAAACTGACAATATTATGGAAAACCTGGATTTTTCAGAAGAAGAAATTCAAGAACAGCTGGCACTCCTTGGCTATAAAAACATCCCAAAACACAGGTTACTGGAGTTTAAGCAAGGTACTCTCTGTTCCTCATGTTGTTGTAATTATGCACCTTGTCAAGAAATCTGTATTCGGTGATAAATATCTAAGTATGGTGTTTTTTTTTCTTCAGTTTTGTAGAAAATAACTTTTACTTCATCTGTGTTTGTCGTGCCAGATCTTGATGAACTGGTGCGACATGGCCAGTGGAAAAATGTGTCTCCTGCAACTCTAATAAGCACTAAAACCACAACAGCCACAACTCATTCAAGTCCTCCAGCTTACACCAAAGAAAAAGGTCAGCTCACTTAGTGAATGAGTCGCCTATCTGATTTATTTTTGTTTTTAATTATCACTTCCATCCATTATCTTTACCTGCTTCTTCATTTTCAGATTGCAGGTTAATTATCACTTGACTTTTTCAATTGTTGGTTGTATTTATGCTCTTTACACCCCTCTCCTCAGTAAGTACATCTTACTTTGAAGACTCTGGGAAAGGATTTTTCTTACATGCACAAAGAACAAACCATCAGAGAAAGGTTAGTGTGAAGTGCATCCCAAAATAAATAATTCACACTCTCCCTCTTGCTGAGTTTAATTGTTTAAAGTTATATTATTTTCGTTTTGGGAATAAAAAAACTTAGTTTTTTTTATTTTTATAAATCTATCTTGACTATATTGTGAGGCTTGTTTTGCATACACGTGTTTGAAGACTTCCTGACTACCAAACTCACCAAATAAAACATAAATATTATGTGACACACAGCCGCTCACCACTCAGGAGAACAGAAACCATGGATCGCAGCAGGGACGCTACGAGTCATACGCTCAGCATTCTGTGGCTCCAAAGCTCCAGCTCTGTCCGGGTGCTCCTAACAGGTTGCAGGTGGAGCCCGACACTGAAGACACCCTGGACTCACTGCTGTCAGACAGCTACACCTCCACCTCAGATCTGCAGGAGAGACGGTTCATCAAAAGAAAAGTCCTAAGGTGGGTTGAAACCAGAACGGAATAATCCTTCTTTTGTCCCACAGCCAGGAGGTTTGCCTTTTATAGCAGCAACGTGAAAAACAAACGTCACAAATCTGTACAAATAGAATGAGTATGAACTAAAATGAGTTTATAGCAGAGTCAGAGTTTCTCTATTTGTCATTCTCACCCCATGTAGTACATGTGATGGAACGAAATTGTGTACACAGGGTCTCAGTTACATCCAACAATAAAATGTAAAAGAAAAACAGTAATAAGATCTAAGATATGAACTAAGAACTAAACTAACAAAAAAATATGCTAAGCACTAATGGCATAAAAGCAATACGCTGAACAGCAGCATGAACACGAGTCTGTGTGAGCAGGTGAGCACGCATGAACACAGCAACATGAAACGGATCAGCAGCAACATGAAACGGATCAGCAACATGAAACAGATCAGCAGGAACATGATGTGATTTTCTCCTGTTCACTCTGCTGACACACAACTGCTCGGCTAGACACGCCAGCTGCCATATAGTGAAGTTTGCGGACGACACAGCAGCAGTGGGACGCATCACAAACAATGATGAGTCCAACTACAGAGAGGAGGTGGAACACCTGGTGCAGTGGTGCAGAGGCAATAATCTCTGCATCAATGTGAAGACGACCAAGGAGATGGTGGTGGATTTCACAAGGGACAAGGATCCTCTTCATCCCCTACACATCAGAGGAGCAGCTGCTACAGGTACCTGGGGGTGCGATAGGTAATTCCTACCTTAAAAGAACCAAACTGACACAAACGTTAGATTTCAACTGAGCTTTTGCAAAAGGAGAGCACACAGTCACAACTGTGTTAAAGCTGTGAGCTGAGAAAACTCAAGACTTTCAGCATCTGCTCGTGTTTTTATTGTCACACAGAAAGGAGTGAAAACTGGACATCTTGATTATACAGGTAGTTTAGATTACACAACAAGGGCAAGGCGGTCTAGAACATTTTGATTAAACGCTTACAGTAATGTGTTTCTGATACCATTGTATCAGTTAAATTCTGCTTCGTACGCACAGTTAAGAAAAACAGTGACAGTGTGAGATTGATCAAATATGAGTTATGTATAAACCCTGACATCTCTGGTTTTACAAAAGAAAAAACAGTTCTCAGAAACTGCTACGTGGGTGAACTTTTTATCAGTTCCTGTCAGTTGGTTTAACTTTACAAGTTCACAGCTTTACGGTCAAACAGACATTATTAGACAAAGATTGATAACATTTTTAAGATACGAAAACCCTATCAGGGTGCATATATCCAGTGACATCACCTGGAGAGCCAACACTTCCTGTCTGATCAAGAAGGCCCACCAGTGTCTCGACTTCTTCAGGAAGCTGAAGAGAGCTGGACGGGGGAGCTCTGTCCTGAGGAGCTTCTGTCGCTGTGTGGTGGAGAGCGTTCTCTGCAACTGTATCACCGTGTGGCACGGCAGCTGCACTGCTGCTGAGAGGATGGCTCTGCAGAGGGTGGTTAAGGCTGCACAGAAGACTGGGGAGCAGCCTTCCCACCACCTCGGACCTCGACACTTCACAATGCATGGGGAGGGGACTCCGCATCATGAAGGACTCCACTCATCCTGCACACAATCTCTTCCAGCCCCTCCCCTCATGCAGGTGGCTGAGAAGCATTCAGATCAAGACCACCAGGCTCAGAAACAGTTTCTTCCCTGCAGCTGTCAGACTGCTGAACTCGAGCTGCACTTCAGCTTCATCTTACTTTTTTAACTTTATTTATTATATATATTTGTACGCTTTTGTATTGATTCGAGTCCAAATTTTGTACCACACACATGCAAATGTGAGGTGGTATGACAATAAAAATCCTTGAATGCTTGATTTTTTTTCTTAGTGATTATTTTGTTAGAGATTCATGAGTCTAACAGCCTCAGGATAGAAGCTGTTCCTCAGCCTGGTGATTCTGCACTTTATGCTCCTCAACCAACTTCCTGAGGGGAGCAGAGCAAAAAGTGTGGGTGAGTGGGGTCCTTCATGATGCAGGTGGCCCTCTTCCTGCATCTGGAGGTGTAGATGTCTGTGATGGTGGGGAGGCTGACTCCAACAATAAAATCCTACAACAACAACAACAACAATAAAATAGTAATAAAATCAGCTTTTTTTTGTCTGAAGTCCATTATTAGTTTCTGACATACTTTTATATTCTAAGCTGACCAAATGTCAACATTTTGATATTTAAACTGTAAGAAGTGTCACAAGAACCAAGAGGTAAAGAAATGGTAGAATGGTTGCCAGTGGCTTATGAAGACCGTTTTGGAGAAAATAATTTTGTAAGCCAAGCTCACCAAAATAGGAGATAATATTTTAAACATTGGCCACACAGCTTGCTGGTCACACTCATTCACTGAGCCTGCAAGTGAAAATTAGCAGATTTTCTCTAAATTTGGAGTCTCCAACTAGTCTTCACCATGGTAACCACAAACATAAGAACAGATAAGTACCACTAAAATCACAAATGCAACCGTGTAGGATAGGTTACATGTAAATATGTTAAGTTTGTTGTTTATGATCCGTTTCTTGCTGCCCACCTGGTTTCCCCTTTAGGAAAATAAAGGTTCTATTTCGTATAAGCTTCGCCCTTTAAGGCTGTCGCTTGGTGGGTTTATCCCGTTATGCGGAGCGTTGCACTGAAAAATTTAGTCCACGCCCACCTGCTGTGTGGGCCCTACCCGGTCCGTATAAATTACGTTAAGAGCGGGAAATCGGCTCCCATTTTTTCTTCAGCGAGCTAATAGCACTGTCAGAAGAACAAAGAAGGAAAATTGTGTAGATGACCAACCTTTAAGAATGCTTGGCCCGGCAGTCGACCTCCGGTCGTCCGGTGAGTTCTCCTCCCCAAGGAGAAGCTGACGAGCAGTCTTATTTCAAGGTAAGCGCCGAGGAATATTTCTCAGTGACAGGTCACTACACGCTGGACAACGCCATCTTGTAATTTTCCTCTTATCGCGACCCTCGGAGCGAATCGGATGGTTCCTCCGGGACAGGCGCGCTCAGCTGCAGCCCCCCGCTGCTCATTCCCTCCTGGAGAGCGTAGTGTCGGTGGAGGGGGGCTGAGTGAATGCTCACCCCATCGCACCTCGTTTCGCATCGGCGATCACACCGCTCCCGGCCGACGGCGCCCTCAGGGGTTGCCCGGCGTAACCCAGGAGGCGGCTGACATGAAGGGACCCCTTTTTTCTACGTCCCACGCCTTTCCCGCCAGTTCAGATGATCCAGCGGGAAGGTTGTTTACTGGGTTCCATTCCGGCTCACCGTCTTGATCCATATGGCCTCGTGTTCCAACAGGACGTCCTACGGGCGAGGCCACAGACGGTTCTTTCCTGGTGGATTGGGGGAGCCGGTCTCCACAGTCCGCACCCATCACCAGAGTGGAGGGGTTCACCGAGCGGGGCTATCCCTCGGTAACCCCCCTTGAGCCAAGCCTCGTGGAAGCTTTCGGAGCGAAGCTGTCCAGGTTGGAGCAGCGTCCCGTCCCTCCTGGGAAACATGACCAGACGGTGACCACGCTCTCCAATCGAGCCCATCAATGTGCTTTTCAGGCAGCCGCAGCTAACAACAACGTGGCGCTGCTAGCATATAGCATGTCCAAGAGGCTGGAGGCCGCAGACCTGCCTGAGGAGACCAAGAGCTCCCTCTGTAAGGCAGCCAACGCCATCCTCAATATGTGTGCCTCTTCTACGGGTTGCCTGTCCAGGATTGCAGCGTGGATGACGATGATTCAACGATCTACCTAGCTCGGTCTCTCCCCCTCGCTGCCGGAGAAACTGCACAAAGACCTGATGGAGGGCCCCATCACGGCGGACGCGCTGTTCGGGAGCAGCTTCAAGCCATGCTGGCGAACTCGAAGCAGTCGGAGGAGGTGTCAGAGGCTGTGCGCCACCTCATCATGCCGCGCGGCTCATCCCGCCCCCCGGCCCGCTGGAGAGACCGTCGTGAGCAGAGGCAGAAGCAACGACGTTCCACGGCCGCGGCGGCGTCTCTCGCTCAGCTCCAGCCCCGCCCGTCAGAGACCAGCCCTCTTCATCCTGGCAACCAGCAGTTCAGCGTTTCCCCAGAGATCGCCTGCAGACAGCGCTCTGGGCAAACAAATCGCAGAGCTCAAGGGGGAGAAGATTTAAAAAATGACGGTCTGCGGAGGGTGTGTGTAAAAGTGACACGAAAGTTGAAATAAATCATCTTTCAATGATCAAAGTGTCTGTTTTTAGCCAGTCTGTAAGCTCGGATGAACTCACAGCGGCTGCGCACACATCCTCCTCACATAACAAGCCGGTGTCCTTAAATAAAGTTTTTTTAAACTCACCGTCGCTCCAAGACATGACGAGACGCTCACACGACACGATGGTAAGCGAAATAACTCGTTGTCAACCCGAGCTGCACGATCCCCACCCAAGCGGTGTCAAACGCGCACTCGTGCGATGCAAACAGCCTTCATCCAAACGGTGCTGTGTTGATGATGGTGCACACACAGCTCCCGGCGCTCACCGACTCACATCGGTATAAATGTGGGACCGCAGGCCGGGTCCGGTGAAGGTCCTCGTTTTCAGCAAATCAACACACGCCTCACTGAAGCAAACGCGTGCGGCCGCGATGTGGGCAGCCATCACCCACCGCCTCTCAGCGCTCGGCAGCTCACGGCAGCATAAGCATGAGACAGCTGAACGAACCCAGTGACTAGTCTCGCCTCCAGCGAGAGCGGCGCGCGTCCCTCCAGAGAAAACGTGTGCTCCCGCAGGGCTCGCAGCCTTCACTCTAACAGCACGGCGTAGATGAAGTCACGCCCTCCGCCTCTCAACGTTCGGACAGCGACGTCGAACGCGCAGCCCCACGGCGTCATCAGCTGTCACACGCTTCGCCTCAGCACACACCGGCCCACCTGTACATGAAGGTTGGTCCGCGGTCCGAACGCAGCGCACAGGCGCGTTCAGAGCCTTTTCGAGGAAGCCTCGCCTTGGGTCACGCAGAAAACATTCCTGCGACACATGACAGCGGTTGAGGCGGCGGACTGGTGACATCCGTACAAAACATGACGCATCACTTAAACGCATGTTCACTCCACGAACGTTACGCAGAATGGCTAAAAACATGCTCGCCGGACAGATGGATGGACAGGGTGTTATGCAAAGATTACAAGTTACAGTTTGCAACCCGACCCCCTCCGTTCGGAGGAGTTTTAGAGATGGTCCTGTCATCACCAGACCAAATCTCATCCCTAAATGCAGAAGTCCAAGAGCTTCTGATAAAAGTAATCTCCAGGGTTCCCAACGGAGAGGAAAACACAGGGTTTTACTCACGTTACTTCCTGGTTCCCAAACGGACCGGAGGGATGAGACCGATTTTGGATCTGTCAGCTTTCAACAAGGCGATCATGGACAGACCGTTTCACATATTGACAACCAGACAGCTGTTGGACAACATCCAGGGAAACGACTGGTTTGTTTTCCGTCGACCTAAAAGGTGCTTATTTTCACATACCGATCATCTCAAAACACAGAAAATTCCTGCGTTTCTCCTTTCAGGGGATGAAGTATCAGTACAACAGGCTGCCGTTCGGGTATTCCCTCGCGCCTCGTACGTTCTCAGTGTATGGAGACAGCTCGTACGTTCTCAGTGTGTGGAGACAGCCCTGCATCCGTTACACAGAGCAGGGATGAGAGTTTTGTTTTACTTGGACGACCTGCTGCTGCTGTCACGCTCCAGACAGGAAGCAGTGATGCAGGCTCAGGTGTTGACATCACACCTGTTAAATCTGGGCTTCGCCATAAATTGGAAGAAAAGCTTGAGTTTCTCGGCCCAGACAATTGTTTATCTGGGAGTGGAGTTAAATTCAACCACCATGAAGGCTCGTTTATCACAATCGAGAATCGACACTTTAAAAGACCAGCTCCGCCATGTAAGACCTGGCGGAGTGGTAACAGCTGTCTCCGTCATGAAGCTGTTAGGAATGATGTCATCAGCTCACACAGTGGTCCCGCTGGGTTTATTACACATGAGACGCCTCCAGAGGTGGTTTGTGCGTCTGCGTGTGGATCCAGTAAAACAAAAGAGACGGATGATCACTGTTCCCCCCTCCGTGAGAGCAGACCTCCGACACTGGGGAAACACCCTGGTTCTGTCGGAGGGAGCCCCCATCAGCAGACCCACGTCACACGTGTCAGTCTTCACGGACGCGTCGCTGTCAGGCTGGGGGGGGGGCATGCCTATCTCAAGCAGTAGGGGCACTGTGGCCCCATCACACATCAGCCCACATAAATGTTTTGGAGTGTCGCACGGTGCTGAACGTGATTCAGCACTTTGCTCCCGTGCTACAGAATCAACACGTGTTGATTCACACAGACAACAAGGTGACTGCTGCGTACATAAACCACCAGGGGGGTATGCGCTCAGCCCAGATGTTACACATTACGCGAAAGCTTCTGTGTTGGGCTCACCAAAATCTGCTCTCCATCAGAGCAGTTTACATACCCGATGTTCTGAACAAAGGGGCAGATGTGATGTCCAGGGGCGGTCCACGTCACGGGGACTGGACTCTCCATCCAGACCTGATGACTCAGACGTGGCAGAAATTTGGCAAAGCAGCTGTTTGCGACACGAGAGAACGCTCAGTGTCAACTATGGTTTTCCCTGAGCTCGCGAGACGAACCACCGTTGGGGGTGAATGCGTTTGCCCACAGCCCATGGCCCAAAACGCTTCTGTACGCGTTTCCTCCACCTCCTATGATTTTACGGTTCCTGAACCGAGTTCAGGAGGAGGGATTGACAGCTCTCCTGGTGGCCCCCGAGCGCGTGAACGCACCATGGTTCTCAGCCCTACAACGCCTGTTATCGGGGCGCCCGTGGAAACTGCCATGGAGGGAGGATGCTCTCCTCCAGGCAGGAGGAGCGATCAGGAGTTACCCAGAAATAGACCAGCACCTGTGGGTCTGGCCACTGAGCAGTTCCGCTTAGAGAGGGTGGGTCTCCCACAGGAGGTAGTGCGCACAATCCAGGATTCACGTGCTGTATCTACCACAGCGCGGTACATATCAAAGTGGACAGTTTTTCAGCGCTGGTGTACAGAGAAAGGTGTAGAGGCCATCTCATGCCCATTAGGCGGCGTGTTGTCTTTTCTACACAGCTGATGGACATGAAGTTGGCATTCAGCACGATTAAAACGTACGCTGCAGCCATCTCTTCCTGCCTTGAAGGGTTCGGAGACAGAACAGCTTTTAATCACCCGCTGATGAAGCGGTTTCTAAAAGGCGTACAGAGACGCAGGCCTGTTTCACGGCCACTTGTGCCACAGTGGGATTTAACGCTGGTCCTGCGAGCCCTGATCAAAGCTCCATTTAAGCCTCTGGATCAGGTTCCAATTAAATTCTTCTCTTTAAACAGCCCTGCTGCTGGCTTTAACATCCGCTAAGTGCGTTAGTGTTTTATCTGCCCTCTCTGTCGCTCCGTCATGTCTTAGAATTTAGGCTGACGACAGCTCAGCTGATTTAAGACCAAACCCAGCTTTTATGCCTAAAAACATCACAAGCTCTTTTAAATCAAGAGAGATATCGTTGGAGGGGTTTTTCCCTCCCCCCCACAGATCAGAAGAAGAAGCATCTTGCCATCTTCTCTGTCCGGTGTGGGCGTTGACGTGTTACATAGCGCGCAAAGCTGTAATGCGCCAAACTCAACATTTGTTTGTGCATTATAGAGATGCACCTGCAGGTCGCCCGTTATCCACCCAGCGCTTGTCACACTGGCTGTGTGAGGCCTTTTTCTGAAGCCTACAGAGCATCAGATTTAGAGCCTCCTGTCAACCTCAGAGCACACTCGACCAGGGGTATCGCATCTTCGACTGCCTTGCATAATGGTATGACAATGCAGGACATTTGCACTGCGGCCGCGTGGTCAACACCCTGCTCATTCATTCGCTCTTATCTACGTGATGTGACGGCCCGTTCCATGACACATTCTGTCCTTAGTGCACTAACAGAATGAATATTGTTTTTTCATGGAACTCTGTTTAAGCTCACATCTGTCTGCATGCTTCACAGTGTGAGATGTTATCAGTCACAAGTTGTGTCTGTTATTTTGGTTCTATTGTCACTAATCAGTTCATGACTATTGTTACCAATCAGTTCATTTGATTAATAATCAGTCATTTGTTATTATTAATCTGTCTATACTGTTCAGCCATGAACGCATAGTTACACAACATGCGTCTGTGCATGGCACATAACTACGCGATGCGTAATTACGCACATGGGGAGCTGAGTGACAAGACGTTTTTTGGGCAAGCTTCTGCTTCATACGGTGTTCGAATGGACCCAGTGAGGCGAGGACCACATCTGCTTTGCCCTTAACCCACCAAGCGACAGCCTTAAAGGGCGAAGCTTATACGAAATAGAACGTTGGTTACGTACTGTAACCCCAGATTCTATGAGTATAAGCGTAGCCCTTTAAGCGTCGGGCCTCACTGGCTCCTAAATGGCTGAAGAAAAAGCTATTTTTGGGAGCCGATTTCCCGCTCTTAACGTAATTTATACGGACCGGGTGGGGCCCACACAGCAGGTGGGCGTGGACTAAATTTTTCAGTGTAATGCTTCGCATAACGGGATAAACCCACCAAGCGACAGCCTTAAAGGGCTACGCCTATACTCATAGAATCTGGGGTTACAGTACGTAACCAACGTTTCGTTGAACTGTGCAGTCTTGCAGTTGTTGACTAACCAGGTCTGTAACAAATCTGTGTTTGTCTTCTCGTCTTTAGGAAACACAAAGGAAAATCTCTCGTCTGTGATGAATCCGTCTACAGTGAAGGCTCAGGTAACAAAACAAGTTTTTTAATCATCTGTATTGAGTGGTAATTATTAACTGATTATATTCAACGTGGAACAAAAAGTAAGAAAAATTGTTTTGGGACAATGATGTTTTTGTTGTTACAATACTTTTTGGGAATAAATGTTGGAAATCCTGTTTGTTGTCTTCTAAATGGTGTCACATTTGTTAGGAAAATGTATTTGTGGGTTGTGCCCATGAAAAACTTGACAAATCATCTCTTGCATTACTAAAGAGTTTATTCTGCTGTTGTCTCTTGTTCTGAGCTCCTGGTACTCCAGGGGCTGCTAGTCAGGCCCTGGTGTCATCATCTCTGAGCATGGACCCTGATACAACGATCACCTGTTGTCTGCTTCAAACATTTCACTGATCTGGATAGACTTGGAGCAGCTGTAGACAACTTCAAGTTGGTGTTCTGGACAGTTTCTTTTTTTTTTCTGAAACATTTCACCTTCCATCCAGAAGGCTTCATCAGTCAAGGAAACACACAACACAAAACTGATTCTTCCCCCAACATCTTACTCCAAAGTGGAACAAACCAGATGAAACCTTCCGTATCGAAGGTGAAACGTTTCAGCAAAAAAAAAGAAACTGTCCAGATGACCTGACTGAAAATTGTTGGATTGTAAACCTGGATTATTGCGCATGGACTTTGTTGGTTCTGCAGAAAAGTTTCAACGTTTGTTTGGAGTAAGCTCTGGTATCATCTCCAAACTGAAGGTTTGTTGTTCCATCTTATGAGGGAGGTCACAGATGGACCGTGGGCATTTCTTGAGATGACATTTTGCAACCATTAGCATTCTCATATCTCCAGTCTGGAACCAAACCGTCCTCTAAGATGTAATGCTCACACCCCCACAAAGCGGGGGTTTTCAGAGACCACCTCCAGCATTTGGAAGTGGAGAGGATGGAGTGCCCTGCATGCAGTCTTGACCTGAACCCCACTGAGCACCCGTGGGATCAGTTTGGGGGTCTTGTCTGTTCCAGTGTGATCAACACAATCCCAGTAATTGACTTCCTGGTTAAAGACTGGGAACATCCCACCGTAGCTGGTGACCAAGCTGGTGAGCAGCATGAGGAGGACGTGCCAGGCTGTTGTGGCTGTGTATGTTTCTTCCACAGCCACATTGGAGCTGCACCTGACACAGGTTGTCTTGAGTGTGGTCTGGGTACAATGA